AGCAAACGTGGAAAATCCCAGGTCCTGTGGGGTGTGAGTCCAGAGAGAGGGAACAGACTGTGACTATGCAAGCACGTAAATAAATAAGGCCATTCGCAGCTCTGGGAAGAAAATAAAATCGGATTGTGTAATAGAGCAGGACTAGAGGGGGGCTGCTTTGTGCAGGGCAGGCTTCTTTGAGGAGGTGACAGCTGGAACCAGAATGATGGAAAGATGGCAGCCATGTGAAGACTGGGAGAGAAGTGGGCGGGGCGGTGGGGGTGATGGAGATTCCAAGCAGAAAAGCCATCAAAGGCCCTGAGCCAGGCTGATTTGGGACAGTTACGGCTCAAAGAGATGGCCACTGTGGCCAGAATGCAGTGAGAAGGGAGGAGATAGGAGAGGCCACACCTTAAGGCTCTGCAGGCCGCGGTCAGGGGTCTGGAGCTTATTTCCAGCACAATGGAGAGGCCTTTAAGTGGGGTGGTGGGCGAGGGGGTTGTGACTTGCATTATTTGTGCTTGAGAAAGACCTCCCTGGCTGCAGTGTGTAGGACGAACTGCAGGGGGCGAGGTGAGACAAGAGTAGAGTCGGGGAAAGTCAGGATGTCTTTAGGATCGCCTAGGCTAAGACTCGAAGGCGACTTGGTCTAGGGCTGTAACGGTGAAATAGAGAAACATGGACATGGGTCTCTTTTGGAGGCAGGATATGGGGGTGAGGGGAAGAGAGAAATTAGAAGAACTCAGTTTTTTGGCCTGAACAGCTGGCTGGCTGGTGGTGCCATTTATTTATGATGTGACAATTTGAGAAGAATTAGATTTGGGGTGTGGGGCGAAGGGAAATTAGAGCCTAGTTTTGGCTGTGAAATGCTCACGAAGCATCCAAGTGCAGGTGATAGGTAGTTAAATATAAGTTAAATATATAAGTCTGGAGATCAAGGGAGAAAGTCTTGGCCAGAGATTAAGATTTGAGATTCAGACAATAGATGGTCTGTGAAGCCACAGAACGGGAGGAGACCCACTACGAGGGTGAATGAAGTAAAGACAAGAGGGCCAAAGACGAAACCTCTGCATTGACTCCCATTTAGAGATGGTGGAGGAGGCAGGAGGGGAAAGGTAAAGAGCCTAAGAAGGAACAGCCCGCGAGAAGGAGAAAAACCAGGGAAGGTAGCCTCGGAGAAGTCCACAAAAGAAAGTTTTTCACGAAGGAGGAGTGGCCGAGTATGTCCAATGCCGTTGAGAGACTGAGTAAATGAAGCTAGAGAGCTGAGCTTTGGCTTCGGCAAAATGTAGGCCACGGGTGATATGGACAAGAGCCAGTTCATGTGATAATGGAGACAAAGGGCTGATGGGAGCCAGATGGAATGAGAATGCGGATAAGAAAGCAGATGCAAGAGGAAAAGCGAGTGTCAGGGGAGAGTTTCTCTACGGTGAGTCATAAGGCCTATTTATGCACAGGTGACGATAAAGATCCAATAATGAGAGGGAAATTGCTGATGCAGCATTAACTGCAGGAGTGAGGTTCTCAGAAGGTCCAAGCGGGTGGAACTGAGTTGGAAATGTGGGATGCGGCTTCCACTATAACCAGAGGAGGTGGTTGGGGGTGGGGGGGTTCTTGTATGATTGCTTCTATTTTTTTTTTCTCTGAAATACATATTGCCATCATTAGTTGAAATTGAGGTTGGGAGTGTGGAAGATTCAAAGAGAGTAGAAGGTATATATTAGTCATCTCAAGAGTGAGGAAGTAAAGCTTCTCAGGCATGATGGAGGAGTTTGAGATTTACAGTTTTGATTTTCAAGTGCATTCAATCACACAGGTATGCTGATTCTTGAGCAAAAGTTGGTTCCAACCAGAGTCTGGGGTTTTGCCAGGTGAGCATGATGGATGGAGAAAAGGGTAAAGGAATTAGATGCAGAGTCATGATTATTGGGATGGGTCAAGGACCTCAAGCTGGATAAGGAGGGCAGTGAGGACCTGGCTGACGGCACTGCAAAAAGGCCAAGGCCAATGGCTTGGAGGTCTCAGTGGGTTCAGGAATTGCTGGTATGGAGTTGATATAGTACCTGAGCTGGAAGAACAGGAGGTGATGTTCAGGGCATGAGGTTATCAGGATGACGAGATCAGTTATACCGTTTGATTATGTGGCTGAGGTGGGGTGGGAAAAAGGCTTTCAGAGTCAAGGAGGTTCTCTGAAAGCTCTGACCTCCTTAGTTCCTCGCAACTTGGGAAACAGAGAACTACGTCCTACCAGAGCTGGAAGGGGCTAAACCTCTTCACTGCACAAATGGGGAATCTGAGACCCGGAGATGTTGGGTGCAGAAACTAAAATGTCGGAAGCTGAAGTTCTGAATCTCAGTCTCAGGGTGAGGTAAGATTTTCGTTGGTGTCATCCTCCTCCCAACTTCCTCCTGCAGCAAAGTTCCACACTCTCCTCCTCCCTCCATCCCTGGAGCCCAAGATCCTTCCCCACCTCCTCAGCACGTCCACTGCCTAACAGTTTTCCTGCACTCTCCAGTCCTCTGAAGATTAAAGTTCAAGTCCACAGCCACAAGATATTAACTGAGTTGTAAGTGTCTTTACAAACCTCTGGTGGCAGATCTTCACATTTATTCATTCATTCACCCATTCAGTTAATCGTTCATTCATTCGGTGATTTCATCTGTCATTACTCATTCTTTGTATTTGTCCAAGCAAAAGGGATGAATTCTCAGTCATTGTGAAATTGCTTATCCACCCAACCAACCAGCCAGACATCTGATAAATACTGAGTGCCAGTCATAGTCCTGTATAGGTTTGACATACAGGCATCACCTGTCCACATGTCTGGCAGGTGTCTAGGTTTTCCCAAGTCCATTCTGTGTCTATTCCCTGAGTCACACACACAGTGTGTCTGAGTTCTAGCCTCCTCCTCATAGCAGGGCTGAAAATACATAAGTTGTCATTGATCAAAGTTCACAAGGTGAGTCTTTATTTTTAAAGCTGTCTGTGTCTTCCATTAAAGATTTTTTTTTTTTTTAATTTGCCAAAGCCATGCTTGCTCATGGTAAAAAAATATAGACAATAACAAAACAAACAAAATAAAAAAAACTTCCTCACAACTGGCAACTTCCATCCCTCCCTCCCACGGTGCCAATCACTGTTGAAAGTATGGTACGTGTGGTTTGGTTCATATCCTTCTATATCTTTTCTATACATTTGTAAAGGGAAAATATTTATATTATGTATGCTGTAGTATATATTTACAAATTGAGATCACAGGCTATTATTCTGCAACTTGCTTTTTCTCTGTAATTATAGATGATAGACATCATGCCAGGTCAGTGCTTCGGATCCACCTCTTTCTTTTTAGGGGCTGCAGCATTCACAATATGGACGGACCTGGTATATTTAACAGGCTCCTGTCAATGGACAATTAGGATGTTTTCATTCAACGCTTCTCCCGCTTCCTGCTAGAATGCTGCCGTGGACATCTCTTTGAGCTCTTTTGTAGGAACATTTCTGAAAGCTATTTCTAGAAATGGAATTGCTGGGTCATGTGCATTTTAAATTTTAATGGATAGCCAGTGTCAGGCATGGTGCCAGAAACAGTAAGATCTTTGTAAATATCTATGGCATGAATGGATACTGCTAGGTTGCCCTCCGGGAAGATCACACTATGTACACTCTCACCAACAGTGAACGGAGAGCCATAGAACTGGCCATTTCTGCCATGAGGCCCCAGCAACGCTGGGTTTCGGGATGACCACTTTCCTCCAGGTTACTCTGCTGCTGCTGGGAGGGTTTAAAGGCCCCCGTCATCTTTGATGAAAGGAAAGCAACGTCCAGGCTGAGGGTGACCTCCTCCTTCAGGTCTGCAAAGCTCACTGCTTAACACGCTCCCACTGGGGTGGGAGTTTACTACAATGAGGGCGACATCTGGGACTTCTCTCATCGGAGCTAACCGGGTTTACACAAAGCCCCCACACGTCTTCCTTCTGTTCCTCACTGATCGATCCCTGAAAACTGAAGGAAACTTTCTATGGTTGGGCTCACTCTCCTACTAACAACCCCGGCACTATGTGGTCAGTAAGCAATGTCCTTCCTCTAGGGCCATCTCCAGTAGGAATCCCCAGCCAGACAGCCCCTGTCCCTAGCATCATTAGGGTCGGCTGTGCCATCATCCCCTGCCACATGCCTGGGTTCTGATGTCCCAAGGCTGAATGAAGCTCTAGAGTAGACATCATGGCCAGCGCACCAGGGCCAGTTCTACCTCCATCCTCCCAGGAGCTTTGGCCAGTGTTGCTGCTGTGCCCTCTGCCTAGGGAGGAAGGCCAGCATCATGGGCTGCAGGGGTGCTGTTCAAAGGCAAGGTCAGGGTGCAGAGGAGGAGCCCAGCCCTGCCTGAGCCCCGAGATACTGGCATGGGGGTCTTTCTCACTCTGCATGCCCTATGCCAGGCTCTGACAAGACTGATGCCCTGGGAAGACTCTATGGTGAATGCTCCTTTCCTCTTGGGGTTAATTCCACAGTTAGGGCTGAGATGGCAGTGCCCCAGAACCATGTGGGACGATAGGACTGGAAGAAAAAGTGGATCTGCCCTCTCCTCTCCTCCCTCCAAGGACAGTCCAGGGTGGGGCTGATCAAGATCTCTCGAGGCCCTGCCCCACAGAGGCCAGCCTCCCAACTCCCCTCTCCCATGGTGAGTCAGGAAGCTGAGCTGTCTCCCCAGGTCAGCGATGGGAGGATGGGATGGGGAAGCACACAACGATCACTCCCATCCCGTCCTGAGCTCCCAAACCAGGCTCTTTAGCACCCCCAGACCTCAAGGTACTAGAGGTTGAAGCATCTGTGAAGATCCTTTCCTGGAGGGTGGCCATGGACCTACTGTCCGCCTATGCTCATTGTCCACACAACCCTGGAGGACTCGTCAATGGCAGGACTTCGGGTGCAGTGATGACCCCCTCTCCCCTCCAGTCCCCCAGCAGGGCCTAGATTCATCTCCCCACACAGCCCGAAGCAGACTCTCAGCAACAATCAGCTGAAGTTTAGTGAGTACAAGTGTTGGGGGAGTAGGGTAGGGCAGAATGGGTTCTTCTCTCTTCAGGTAGAACTGGAGGTGGCTCAGAGCTCATGCAGTCCGATCTTAGTGCCTTTTATATCTCAGAGCTGGCTGTCCAGTCAAGATTTGTATACTTCCAGAAACGGGGCTCTCTTCACTCCTCAGAGTAGCCTATTCCACTGTCAGGCACCTCCAACTGACGACATTTTCCTCTTGGCAGCTTCTAACCTGGGTTAGGGGTGGGGGGATGGATGGATACTGTCACTCTAGCCCAGCCCTTGGGATAAGAGAAACAGTCGAGGTGGAACAGGGGCAGGAAAAGCAATAAATTAAATACAAGAATGCCCAGAGATGTGGCGGGTTGGGTGGGAGTGTTCCAAGGGTCCCAAGCATCTCTGGCTCGCTCCAGGAAGCACTGGGGAGGAGGTGGCTGTGGCAGGATTCCAAGCAGGAGGTAGCTCAGAAGGCTGGGTTGTCGATGCCTCTGTGTACCCCAGAATATTCTTCAGGCCTGAAGCTGTAGGGAGGGGGCGGCTCCATGGGGGGCCAGCCCAGGACTGGCTTCAGAATAATCTGCAGGGAAAGGAGGAGACACAGTCTTCTTATGGCCTGGCACTGGCCATCACTACCCACGTGCTGGAGGTATACAGGGAACAGGGGTGACCCAATGCTGGCTGCAGAGTCTTCCCTGGGGTAAGGAGGCCTTCCATTGTCCCTGTTGCTCCAACAGTTGGGACAGTAGGGAGGTACAGATGGCCAAGGAGCAGAGCAGGGATTGTGATAGACACCCACCTCGCTGTAGGGAGGTGGAGGCTCAGAGGCGGACACCCTGACCCTCTCTGCTGGGGAAATGGAGGGTTGTTCGGAGGGCCCCTCGCGGTCCATCTGGCGGTCCTGTTCCTGCTCTCTGCAGCTGCGACAGAAGCGCTTTGCCAGGCCGCAGATGCACAGGATGGGCAGGATGATCAGGAAGACGATGACAAAGATCCTGGGGTAAGGAACCACCACCATCACCCTGACAGTCTAGGCTATCCTTACTGCACCTCCCTCCCGCCCTTGACCCACACCAACCCTCAAGGCAGGAAGCCCAGTCCTGTGCGAACCAGGTCCCTCGGAGGGCTGTGCCCAGAGGAGCTGGCCCTGGACTCACCTCATGGGGCCAGAGAAGAGCTCATACTCCTGGCAGCAGTTGTCACCGCAGCACTTGAATCCTTCAGGGCAGGTGCTGGGGTGGGGGCAGATAGAAGCTGTTGGTACCAAGGTGGGGCGGCAGAAGGATCCCAGCCTCCCCAAAATGCATCCATATACTCAGAGCACAAGCCACACTCCTGGTGGTGGGAGGGGAAGGGACTCCAGGTTCAATGGGAGGAAGCTGGGGCCAGGATCAGAACCTGATTTCCAGATGCGTCTCAGTACTCTCCTGTGCACTCAGACCAAGTTATGCTCCTCCCTGGGCCTCACCTTTTTCCTCCATAAAATGGGTGTGATGAACATCATGGCAACCTCACTGGGCAGGTGTGGGATTGAGTGTTGTAGTGGCTACATCACCCTAAGGAGATGTAGTGGGGAGAAGGGGGCTGGGGACTGTCCAGGAGCTAAAGTGAAGAGGAGCGAGCCCTTGCTGGTGCCCAGAGTCGGTGGCAGGAAAGAGAGGGTGTTCCTGGCACTTCCAGTGCTGACTTGATGCAAAAACTCTTCTGCCCAGAGACCACCTCCTTCAGCCCCTCCTCATCATGCTCAGGCTTCCTGGCATTTATATATTAAGGACGAATACCCTTTGCCCCACCTCACAGGGGCCCTCTCAGAGGGAAGATGGCCTGAGACTGCAGTAAGAAGGAGGGGATTAGGCTTCAGATGGCCCACAAGTGTGAAACTCCCCTTGGGGTGGCTGGTGGGGAAAGGGAGGGGGTGGAGTCTCCTTCTTTGGGTTGGGGAGTGTGGGGATGATTTATGGCTGGAAGGGGAGTGAATGAAGATGATGGATAAGGTGCCTCCCTCCCACGAAGGCAGGCAGAGTAGGATTTGGGGTGTCTCCTCCCTGATTGGAAGTTACAGCTCAAACCCCAGACTTACAAGATGATGCCACATTTGGCTGCAGTCTGTGGAAGAAAAGAAGCAGAGGTTAGGGGTCATAAATTGGCTAATGGTGTCTCCACTCAGAACCTGCCCAGGGACCTGACAGCCAGGTCCACAATGGATCAGCATCTTCCCCAAGCCTGCTCTCTACCTCACTCCATCATGTTCCTCACGTCAATAACGTGGGCTCCAGCTGCCACCTGGAGGCTCCCAACCCTCTTTCATCTCCTTATACCACCCCCCTACACCATATTCCCTCCTCTCCAGGTCTGTAAGCCTTCTGTCATCTACAGTCCAGGATGCCAACAACTCTCCTCCTGCCCTCCTAAGTCACTCCCCACACTGCAGGCAAGTTCCTACCCCCGTATGTATGACCACCAGCAACCTTGCTAGAAGCCCCCTTTAGCGGCTCCCTGGGGCCGACCCCCAATGACCAGTGGTGGCCCCCCTCCTTCCTTGCCCTTTTGCACACACACCCTGAACACACCTAGATGTTTTACACTTGCATGCCGGGGCAGGCCCTCTTCCCCATGCCTTCATGGTCTAATGAACCCAGTTCATCCTTCAGATCTCTGTGGGGAGGGGGAACCTCGCTCTGCGAAGCTGCCCAGGCCCTCCTCTCTAGAACCAGCTCCTCCCTCCCCACCTCTCCTAAGCTAGTTCTACAGGGTATAGGTCCAGAATTTAACCCAATTAATAGCAATTACGTGTATATGCCCTGCTTGGAACATTCTTGCCCTAGGTATCTGCAAGGCTGGTTCCAGCAGCCCCGTCTCAAACCATCTTACCTAAAATTACATCTCTTGTCTCAAAGCGCTCCTCTTCCCCTCATTGTGCTTATTTTTTTCTGCATAGCTCTTATCAACATCGAACATACTATATATTTTCCTTTATCTTATTAATCGTCTGTCTCCTCAGTAGAATATAAACTCCACAGGGCAGAGATTCTGGTCTGTTTCATCACTGTTGAAAACCCAAGTCACAGTGTTGGCAGAATGAATGAAAGAGCATTCATTAATTACCTGTTTTCATTTCATCCAGACTGGGGGATGGTGGCAGAGGAATGCAGGGGGGGGAAACAGTGGGGAACAGGAGGGTACATGTCACCCAGCCTCCTGGGGGCAAACAACCAGGACTCAAGAATAAGAAGCTAACTTTGTTGAGACCACCCTATCTTCATACCTTTCTTGAAATAATGCAGTAACATTTCAATTGCTTATGACAACAGTAAAGCTAAGAATACCAACAACAGTCAATAATAGTTGTGCTGATTCCCCTTTTCTGTGTTCAGTCCCATGTGAGTACCCGCTTGTCACAAGCCTTGGCCAGTGGTGCTGGAGCAGCACTAAATCCCTGGGGCAGGTTGGCCCAGAGAGGGTAAGGGCCACACAGCACAGAGTGGGGCCACTGTAGAGTTGAGACAGACCAAGGAGTCCAGGCACTCAGTGGCAGCCTCTTCCCCCTCAGATCCCAGACCCTGTTCTTCCTCCCTCTCCTGGGCCCCAGGTAAGCAGGACCGATAAAAAAGGTTTAATAAGTTCGTCCCGAGCTCCTGTTTGGGAGGGACAGAAGATCTCCTAGATTCTCTACCCCCATTACACCAGGGGCCATCTTGTCTGACGTGGTCCAGAGCCTGCGTTTTATCAAATGTCAGGATGATCTTGGGGAACCTCGGCTGACAGTCCTGCATGGCATAACCACGTTTCCATTCCATCAACGACAGGCCACATATATGACGGTGGTCTCCTAAGATTACAATGGAGTTGAAAAATGCCTATTGCCAGTCATATAAAAGTATATCATATACAATTATGTATGGTCTATCATACTTGATGATAATAAGTGACTATGTTACTGGTATTTACTATCCTATACTTTTGATTGTTATTTTAGAGTGTACACTTTCTACTTATAAGAAAAAAAGTTTGGTGTAAAACAGTATGTTACACCAGAGCAGCCTCATACATCTCATGTTTACAGCATCTCTTGACTGCATCATTTTCTCTTGTGCTTGATTTAATCTTGTGTTGTTCTATAAATTTAGTGTAGCCTAGGTGTATGGTGTCTAGAAAGTTTACAGTAGTGTACAGTAATGTCCTAGGCCTTCACATTCACTCACCTCTCACTCACTGACTCACTCTGAGCAATTTCTAGTCTTATAAGCTCCATTCATGGTAAGTGCCCTATACAGGTGTACAATTTTTTATTTTTTTATAGCATATTTTGGCAGTACTTTTTCTATATTTAGATACATAAACACTTACCATTGTGTTACAATTGCCTACAGGATTCAGTACAGTACAGGCTTGTAGCCTAGGAACAATAGGCTGTACCATCTAGCCTAGGTGTGTAGTAGGATACACCACCTATGTTTGTATAAGTGCACTCTATGATGTTTGCACAACAAAATAGCCTAACAACGTATTTCTCAGAACGTCTGTTAAGCGGTGCCTGACTGTACTTACAGGTGAATTGAGGACATAAGCAGTGCCTGCCCCCTGGAGTTGTTGGGAGGAATCGAGAAGAGGATGACGCTCAGCCTAGTGCCGGCACAGACTGATGGCCGAGGGACTGAGGAGTACAAGAGCTTCAGGGGCACGGCCACACAGTCGTGTGAATGTGCCCCATTCTGGGGAGCCAGACTGGGACTTCCCTTAGATCTTAAAACAGAAGTTAAAAATCTGTGTTCTAGACTCACGTCAGTTTCCAAGATAATCTCCCATCCCAGGACTGGACAGAACTGCCCTATCAATGGGAGAGGGAGGAATGAGGGCATGCCTGTCCACTGTCAGAGTCACAGATTTCAGAGGTGTGACCCCAGTCTTGGGTCAGGCAGCCAGATTAAATCCTACCAGGGGCTGGAATCCTACCCCCACTCCTAGAAAAGGACTAAGGGGCCTCTTTTTCCCTAGGACATAAGCAAATAAACACAGCCCAGAGAGGGCCGGGCCTTCCCCAAGGTCACGCAGCACTGGAGGAACATAGCTGGGGTGACAAGCCGGCCAGGCATCTAGATTCAGTCCCAGATAGTCCCGGCTTTCTAACGCAGGGAAGGAGCAGGAAGGACTAGCCAAGGCTAAAATACGAGTCGAAGTCCCCAGTCACAGAGAAGCGCTAGGTGTCACGATGGTGGTGGGCGAAGGCCAGTGTCACTACACAGTCCCCCAGGGTGAAGGAACCCCGGCCTTTTCAGGGCCTTCCTCTGCTGCCCCCACCTCCACCTCCCTAGCCAAATGAGAAAGGAAGTTGCTAATTGCGTGTGGTCACGAGGAAATTCTAACAATGGAAGGTGGTGACCCGGCTCCAGAAGCAGGCCCCTGACCCACAAGGGTAGGGCCCTGAAAGTTGTACAGCTCTACCTCCCGAGCTCTCACCTGTTGGAGGCCAGCAAGTAGGCCGAGCAGCAAGGTGGGTACCAAGCCGAGGACCCAGGCGTCGGACATCCTGGCGTGGGAACCACTGAGCTTCCGCGTGTAAGGGGAGGAGGGGAGAGGCAGAGAGAGGCGGGGCGGCGACCTCTCCCACGTCTCTCCACCTATGGGGCCCCGCCTCAGGATGGGGGCGGAGCTTATGCACCGGGTTGCGCGGGACTTGGGGCAGGGACGGGGAAGAAGTACGGGTCGGGCTTTGGAAAAGGGGAAATAGAAGACATTAATTGGTAAAAATTGTGGGGTCAGTTCAAGACTGCTAAACTGCTTCTTCCCAACCCCCAACTACTGCTCCACCCATAAGTGGCCCCAGGTTTAAGGGAGGGAGTGCTGAGTCTGGCCAGGGAAGAAGGGATGCAGGCATTGGGAGCCGACCACTAGAAGTTTCTTCCCACCTGGACTTCTGGGGCTCAGAGGTTGAGGGAGAGGAGAGGCGAAGGTCCTGGAGTGGATTGAGGGGTCTGTATGGGGGAGGTACCGCACGCGCGCGCGCGCACGCACACACACACACACACACACACATGGGAGACCTGTTTTGGTAGAATGAAGCCTGGTTCACCAAAGAAGAGGGATAATGAGGACATTTTTTTGCCAAGAAGGGAGGGGCGGCCCGGCTGATTTCTGGGGAAGGAGAACCAGGAGCACAGCACAGGTACATCGAGTCCCCTCACCCCCCTACGCTCACACACCTCCCTTGTGATCTTGAGAGGAGGTGTTGGTACACTTCCTCCTTTTGGCTATTGGGGCAATTAAGGCCCCAGGGTTCAGAGACTTGCCCCGGGATCTAAAGTGGGGCGCAGCGGCAGCCAGTCGAGTTTCCGCGCCGGCGAGGAGGCCTCTCCAGATTCCTGGAAAGACCCCGCGGAGGCGGTCCCAGCCGGGAGGGGGCGGGATTCCAACCCTCAGCCGCCGCACCCCAGCCCTGGGGGCGCGCTGTGCTTACCCAGTCCGGCCAGCAAGTGGCAGCATCACTCAACGCGGGATTCCCCCGGAGCGCGGGGCTGCTGGGCTGGGACACGAAGGTGGTCTCCGTAAGCTCCCTCCGAGGGAAGTTGCTGGCGGGCGGTGTGGGAGGCCGCCTCGGAGGGCGGTAGGCGCAGGATGACAGCCAGACGCCCAGACTCGGATGAGACAGGTGGAGACCATGCCGGAGCTGGAGAGCTGGAGCCCGGACGCCTGGGGAAGGGGCGCAATGGCAGTGGTGGGCGGGCTGCTGCTCCCTGGCCTGGGGGAGGGGGAAGGCTCCAGGAGTTCTTAGGTTGTCAGACGTCTCCTACTGTGCCTTAAATATCCCCAAGTTAGTACAACAGGATAGCGGTCTCCTCTGTCTCCTTTTCTTCATTCTTTCACCGCTTTCTCTTTATCTGTTTATCTCTCCCAGTCCTGTTATCTTTGTCTTAACTGCTTAACTGCTCCGTGTCCCCCCCATTTCTCCCAGTCCCTCTTCCTGTTCCAGTTTCTTCCCATTTCTGTCAGGTTCTCTCCCTGCCTCTGTGTTCCCCTCTGTTTCCCATCTCTGTTTCTCCTTTCTTCCTTAATCTGTTTATCTCAGTCAAGGAGTCTGGTTTTCTCTTTGCGCTTCCATTTCCCTGGCTCTGGTTTGGTCCCGTGTCTCCCTGTCTCTGTGTCTGTTTTTCTCACCAACTTCTTGGTCTCTCTCTCTCTCAGTATATCTCTCCCTAGTCTCTCTCTCTCTCTTTTTTCCCTGTCTCTGTTTCTCATTATCTCTTGGCCCTTTTCGGCCCCTAAGGACAGAATCTTCCAGTCTCAGGATCCAAATGGAATTGGGGTCTGGCTCTAGAAAATGCCCTCTCTATTTGCATTTCTGGGTGACCCTTAGCTTGTAGAAGGGAATGTGCACCTCCCCCCGCCTCCCCTGTCCCCCTGGGGCAGATGGCTGTGCTAAGGGAAACCTAGTCCAGAGAATGCTAGAGTTTCCTCCCAGCAGTGCCCATTCTGCCACCTCATTAGTGAAGTCCTTGCTAATTTGGGCTTCCAGAGCCCTCTCGCCCCTGCCCTGGCCCCACTGCATCCATATCTAAGGTCAGGGGTATCGGCCACAAACCCTGACACTCGGCCCAGGCCTCGAGCCCTACAGAGGCGTGGCCTTTATGGGAGAGGAAGATGGGTGATCTTAGGGGAGGAGAGTGTCCTAGGGAGTGAAATGGGGATGCTGAGAAGGGCATGGAGGAGCTTGAGGGGTAGGTGTGGGAGGCTTGGGGGAGGCTGATGAGAAGGGACCAGGGAGTCACCAGTGCCCTCAGGATGGGCAGGAGGAGGCAGGAAGCTAGCATCACTCCCCTCTGGCTCTCTGGCATCCAGCTGACACAAATCTTGGATTGCCAGACAAAATACAGGACACCCAGTTATATTCGAATTCCACATAAACAACAGATAATATGTTTAGCATGACTGTGTCCTATGCAATATTTGGGACATACCTATCCTAAAATTTGTTATTTGGAATTCGAATTTAACTATATGTCCTGTATTTTTATTTGTTAAATCTGGAAATGCTACCCACATCCCTTAAATGTCATAGGAATAGACATTTGAGAACAGCTGCTCCACCTGCTGGCCCACATCTCCCCAGTGGGAAAGGAAGGCTCAGCGGGCAGAGTTCAGAAAGCCTCTGGAACCTGCCTCTGGGTCCCCAGTTTTTCTTCATGAAACCAAACTACTCTGCTATACTCTTTCCTGCAGATGAGGATGAAGTGAGAGGTGAGTGGTCTCAGCTTAGGCCAAGAACACTAAGCCCTGTTGTCAACATGTCCACCATGGCTCCCAGGGCCCCAACATTCTTGGTAGGTGAGGTCGGGTGGGGGCGGGATCACAGTGGGGCAGACTGAGCAGACAGGGGCTTCTTTTTGTAGAGGCAGGAGGGTCCTGGACACGGATGACATCTGTTCAACACCTCGTCTGGCAGTAGAGGGAAGTGTGTGCATGTGTGCATGTGTGTGCTCGGGCATGCAGGGGCCAAGGAGGCCCAGAGACCTCATGCAGTCAGTGAGTCCCTCTTGATTCCAAACCAAATTCCATCTGGGGTTTCCCAAGAGCAGCATAGTCCAAATGTCTTCATACTCGCTCTCCACCTCCCCAGGCCTTTCACTAAAGAACAAGCTGATTGTCTGTGCATCCTGCAAGGACCCAGCTGGAAGGGCCTGGGAGGTCAGCTGGTCCACCCGCCCCTTCTCAGAGAAGCTAACTGGAGCTCAGAGGGGTGGGAAGGCCAAGTCACATGGGACATTGGGGTTGAGTCAGCACCAGAACCACGCAGGTCTTGAGACCCTACACCCAGAGGCACCCTGAGAGGAGGGAGCCGCTGCTCCAAATAGAGAAATCTTCCCTGGGGCTGGGGTGGGAGGCCTTGTGCAACCTGGTTTAGCCCAGCCCAAGGGGCCAGGCCCTGGGCAACGGGGAAGAGCCAGGCTAAATTCTGTTCCTCTCAGCCCCTCTCCCTACCATACTGTGGCGGACACTGATACTGATAATGAAATGGCTTATGGCGCTGGGCCTGGATCTTTCTTTTCAAAGCCCACACAGCATTCTGCTTTAGCCCAGCTCTGACTGAAGGGGCAGTATTATGTCATGTTGGTAAGTGTACCCCTTACTATGGTGTGCCGCGTGACCTTAGTCAAAAAACTAAACTTCTCTGTGCCTCTCTAAACTCATCTGTGAAGGGGGGGGATAACCTTCTTTATCACACAGGGTCATTATGAGGATGAAATAAGCTACTCAATGTCTAGAATACAGTAATAGTAAGTAAATGTTAGTTTAATAATAATATGCAATGAATGTTTCATTCCTGGCAGAGGAAAGGAGCCAAAGCTCTTTCTCTCCATTTCACATAGAAGCAGAGTGAGGTGATAAGGAATTAAGGATCTTGCTTCTCTAAGAACTGCTCTCTCCCTCTATATAGGCCAAGTCCTGCTCCGGTTTCCCTAGAATGCTGGCTCACTAGCCCCCTCTGCTGTGCATTAGGTGCTCTGCCCACCACCCTTTCCCCCAAAGGGCCAGGTCAGAGACTTAGCTCAGAGGATGACCTGGTATTGACCACTCCTTCTAGAGGGTCACAGGGGACCCAGTGTGGCACTGGTGCTGGGGCCAGACATTTGAGCAAGTCCCTCTATGCCTGGTTTGCCCACCTCTTCTGCTTCCCCACTGCTCAGAGTGCTGCCTGGGCTGGGCTTATGGTGGGCACCCAACTCTCTTGCAGCCTGAGAGCTCGGGGAGACTAGAGACCGTGCTTATCACAGGCATCCCCACTGCCACTGACTCCATGCAGTATGGCTCCCCAGGGCCATCACAACCATCTTCATAAGGCCTCCAGCCTAGTCTCCCCATTGCCTATGTTAGGACATGTTACTCTCTTGCTCCCTAACTTTCAGAGGCTCCCCATTTCTGCCTGATAAAGTTCCATCTCAGGGAGACCTTTGGGGTCCTTCATGACCAGCCCCCACCTGACCTCCCAGTGTGCTCTTCCTGTCCTGCCTGCCTGTTCTCCAACCACACACCCGACCGTCTCTTCCCTCCTTTCCTCAGTTTCGGCAGCTCTCTCTACTTAGAATACCTGTCCCTAGACCCCTCCCCGAAACCTAACAAATTCTCAACCATTTTTCAAGGCTCAACTCCAATTCCGCCTCTTCCAGAAAACCTTCTAGGACTTGGATCTTTGAGTAAGACGTCACTGTCCCCCTCCTGCTCACCCCCCACCCAGGCCTTCTCTCTGGGCTTCAATCTCTAGATGTGTGCACATGTCCTGACATTCCCACCAGGCTGCGGGGGCTGGCCCCATTCCGATTCAGCTCTCATTTCCCCATGGTGCTTTGTTCCAAGTAAACACTGGCTCTGTTGTCACTGACTTGAAGCTGGTTGGAGGCTTCCTGGGGTCAAGGGCCACATTTCTCTAGGATGGAGAATGAATTCCCAAAGGCCTTGGTGGGGGTTCTTGGTTGAGGGTGTTGTTCCTGACTGACTAGGCTCCACTGGCTGTGTGGTTGAGGAATCCACCTCTTCTGTTTCCTGTTCCTCCCAAGTGTACAGTACCCCCCAAGTGAGTCAGAAGGCTCCCTAGGGATCAAGCAACTCCTATGGGGTGGGCTGCAAGGAAATCTGGCTTACTGTCCACCTGCCAGGAGGAGGTGGGATGCATGTTGGGTTGCCAAGTGGAATTCTTGGCCATGGGATCAAGGTCTGAGTCTCCTTCTCTGGAATATTCCTCTGGAAATTGAAGTCCACCAGCCCCTTATTCATTCTCAAAGTGATGGGCGTGAGGGTGGGGAGATGACTTCTGGAGTTGACCCCAGGTCTGAGCCGCCAACCTGTGGGCCAGGAGGGTGGAGAGAGGCATGCCACCTGCCAATTAACGGTGCAGGGAGCTTATTATCCTAATGAGCGGTTAGAGGAGCACAACTAATGCTCACCTTCCCGAGGCTTAGCAGAGACAAAAACG